CTTCGCATGCGGGATCCTCTCCTGCTGAAGTAGCTCAGCTTGCCCGTGCCTTCGGACGTTACACATTTCCGTTTTAGAGGCCCTATCCGTATAACCGATGCTATGATGTTGTAAGATGAAACGTAGCTACCATAGACTGTTACAATTTCCCCTAATTTAAAATTAAACTTTCTTTCACTATCGTGTCGTACTAATAAAGTGTTTTCATCTTCAAAATGCTATGTGTTCAAGGGCAACGTTTCAATAACGGCAGTATTGTGTCCTAATTATGAACAAATTAACAGCAAATATGCTAGCTAAAGTCCCAGACACATGTTTCACATTGTTTCGAAGAGGCTGACTCATCAGTGGGTCCCCTAGCGTGCGCTTTGCATTTTTCGTAAGCATGACGGTTTCGAAATTTTTACTCTTTCATTACCCTAAAAATAAAAGTCTGACAAAACGAAAGAACCGGACGAATGTGTTTCATTAGTGATCGTCGAGCGTTTAACAACAAATGATAATGTTTCCTATCTAAACCGGGAAGACAATGGACGTGTCGCTCAACAGACACGTTTCACCGATATGCTACCGCTGCATGGCCCAGTTCCGAGAAGGTCGGCTCATCAGTAGGCCTCCTTGTGTGACCAGTGTTTTGTTGGTAAATGTTCCAGTTTACAAATTGTTTCTCCTCAATTTCTTCAAAAATAAAACAGGCACACGTCAGCAGAACGGAATGAGTACGTTTCGTTAGCGATCAGTGAGCGCTTACCAACAAAGGACAATATTTGCGATCTTAACCGGCAAGTTAAAGTGCCCGTGGCTCACTGATTAGACATTGAATTTCTGATCAACAGGTCATAGGTTCGAGCCTCGGGTGGAGCCCCACATGGGTTTGGGTATGGCTGGCTGCTGAAGGCTAACCAACCAGAAATTGTTGCCCTGTCTTTGCCGGAAATGTTAGTCTGCGTAAACTACTAGCTGTTGTGCGGCTGCTGACGGGGCTTGTCAAACATTTTCTATACGACGCAATTCATTCGCGCGCAAGGCAATTCTCTTGTGCCCTTGATCAGTCCGTCGTGAAGCGTACGGATGATCACATGTAAGACAGCCGTTCGAGGAATTGTGGTGTTAATCATCAACAAGTCTGGTGAATTCGCGTCCACTAAAGTCCCAGATGCAACTTACGCAGGAAGATACCCCAGTAACAATCGGCGGATACCGAATTCATCGTGTTGCAGTGAATATACTAAGTGATCAATAGGGAGTTCAGAAAAGTTGAATAATTCAGTTAACCTAATTGTGTAAAACCTACTGGTCTCGGTGGGACTCGAATCAATGAAAGCAAAGGGGAAGCTCAGTTACTTTCAAATGTTACGGGATCCGCGAGTATAATAACCTTTCCGTCAAAGCATGAGGTCAACCGGTTTTTCGAACTTTGGTTAAAGGATTTACTCAAATCCGCTAAATGCCTTATTTATCAAGTTTGAATGGTAATCATCTGGCGGATTCTAGGATGATTGTTTGGGAACCGCTCCTTGGGCAGTCAGCTAACTGTATCAGGATTGGTGACGGGCTGAGCAGATTAACTGATAAATCTGTTATCCAAATTAGGGTTCTAGGTGGAGCCTTGTATCTAAGAAGGATATATAGATAGCGCCACTAAAATTATTGCCTTGCTGTCCCACGTTCAAATCTCACCGAGACCGCCGAGTTCGTTACAGTTGAGTCAATTGAATTATTTTAATTTACTAAAACCGCATTTTGATCAATAGGCGCATTCACACCAACGTGAATATCCGTGATAAACATGGTATCGATCGATTTTCACTGGTTTGATTTCCGGCGTAACATACAACACATAAACCATGATTCTCTGCGGTTTCACCATCGCTATCCATTACTGGCGCGTGGAGGGGGAATTGGAAGACAATCAGAAAAATCCGACTTTCAAGTTTCTTTCTTCTACATCGACCTCTTCCATGCACAAGTGCCCCCCTGATCTACCGTTCCACGTACACCGACAATTCTTTTCCAACCGATGTGATCCAGTTGGCGCAATAATGCCTGACATCTGCCACCCCGTAAACAATATCATCAAGAGAAGCAGAGTTGTACTAGTCTCACAGTGTCGGCACATCCAATCAGATTGACAGTTGCCGCATCCAGCTTAAGACTGATATTGGATGCGATGATTGATTGATTGCTTAGCTGCCCGCATCTATGGCGTTAAAAACTCGAATTCACGAGAGGCGTTGATGATTGGCCTCAAAATCATTCAGCCATCTGACCTATCAGTTGTCAACAGCAAAACATATGGACTTAGGACACAGGACAATTGACTTGCGCGCAGATAGCCGAATGGTGCGGCATTCACAAAATTCTCTCCTTCCTTACCCGCCTAATCCGTTGCCATAACTGTGTAAAGAAAAGCGGATGCAGAAACTAAGGCAGGAGCAAACAAAAAGCCACTTGTATACGTGTGCGGAACACATGGTTCACATACAACGGACCACGTTTTGGAGAATGACGAAGATTCCATGGATTATGACGTGTAATCCTCAGCGAAGTGCGTTTTAAACACGATCCATCGTATTTCTCTTGCCCCTGAACACGGAAGCTTCACTAAAAGATTCGGAGTATTTCACCGTACATACAAGACTTCTGGCTACATTAACTAGAACTTGGTAAAACTGCATGCAATTCCGCCTGGGCTGACGTGAGAGGGTGGCTAAAGACTACGGATTCGCGCTTGACGCATGGAATCTTCCGATAAGATTCAGAGAGTCTCGGGTTTAGTTTCTTGTCTATACACTGATAGATAGAATTGCGCGGGTAGCCATTCACTATGAACACTAGTCGGCGAAAAAATTACAGATATCGGCCACCTCCTAATGAGCATCGCAAATAGAAGCAAAGAGATTCAGTGGAATTAGGGTGTCGAGAAATCCGATAAAAGTGACAGCCCTCGCATTTATCTCAAACTGATATTCGGTGCGATGACTGACTGTTTATCTGCTGCCACTTGAGGCGCTAGTGAGCCTGAATTCACGAGAGGTTTTGATGACTGGCGTGGCCATTACGTGACCAGCTGAATTACTCTTGATCATCCGCATATTTCACGCGTAAGTAAATACTCTGACAAACCAAAGATCTTTCCGTTTTTCTATGGTCCCGGGGGGGACTGAGCAGATAAGCATCGGCTCGTGATGTGTGTCTCCTTCGACGTCAAGATTAGATCGACTACTATCGCATGTGGCCTAGTAGGAAAAATAGTGGCATTTGCCTTGTTCGCTGATACAGAGCAGCCATTTGCATCCACAGCAATATTTATTGTATTTTTTCTGACCCGCTGACATACTACATTTAATAAAGTAGTTTATCATGATTGCAGGTGTAGTGACCTCATTAACTGATCAAACTGGGGTAGGCAATTACAATTTAGCTGATGATTTATGAGCTTTAATTGAGGTTCCCGATAAAACTCGTTCACACAGACCGATGTGTATGCCTTAAGTTACGAGGTCCAGATGTGTTATCGCGTTCATCGTCTCTCAAAGAAGAGGAAGGGGAAGAGGCGGCGAGTTTATGGACCAAACTATATGTGAACTGACGCTTCAGAACCCTTCTCGCTTCTTTCGTCATCTGGTGGTCTTGAGTTGGCCAGCTTTGTCGTCTACTTCGTATTATATCCGTGCTGGACACGTGAACTTTGACCGGCCGCTTCGTTTTTGACTGCATTTGGTCTCCCGGAGGTTGGCTGCTGGCGGGCTTGCGTGACCTTCGTCCCCTCTGCGGTCATCGTAGGTGTAGGCGAGTCATTATGCTTGCTGGCCTCCCCCACGTCAACCGGCGGACTCATTACTCGTTACTTTTCGCGTGAGTTGTGCTTTGCTTCGCGGATGCGACGGTGTGACAGCGTTTGATGTTGGCCACGTGACCTTCTACCGCCACCCCTATTTTCCGTGTGCGTAGGCTCTCAGTTTTGCGTGCTCGTTTGCCCTGCTGGCCCCGGCCGTCTTAATCCGAGTCTTGTGCAAAGCGCCTGGTTGGCAAGGTTCATGTCTATAGCTCTGTTGATTGTGCCAGTGGAGCACCAACTTTCTAACACTAGTCTGGCCATCTTCTCATTGGCCCTGCCGACCACCCTCGCTTTCTCAAAGGCGAAGTCGTGGTTCAGCTGTTGTACGTGACCATAGACCAAATACAGCTTGTCCTTGAGGTCAAGTTCAAGCTGATGTTCGTGCAATCTTATGCCTAGGTGTTTTCCCGTTTCACCAACATACCTCGCATCAAAATTTTTCCATTGGATGCTGTAGATCACTGTTGATTGCTCGGTTGCTGCCAGGTGGTCTTGGGCTTCATGATTTGCTGTCTGATTGTGGAGTATGGTCTATGCGCCACTCCGATCCTAAAAGGTTCTCGGATTCGTGCTGTAGCCTTTGAAACGTTTTCAACGTAGGGCATGTTGAGCCAGAATTTTGGCTTTCTTCCGCTCGACCGATGGACGCGAGGCTTCTTCAGGCACTTGTGGACGAAGGACTTCGGATAACCGTTGGCTTTGAAAAGGGCATGTAACTACTTCATCTTCTCCTGCTTCCCACTGTCGTCGCTAGAGTGTGTTTAAACACGTCGGAAGAGGTTTTAACACAACTGCGTTTATGATCAACAGGGTGGTTGCTTTAGGAGTGAAGAATGCGCCTGGTGTTAGTTGACTTACGATAGAACGTTGTCCTTATCTTCCCATCTGCTAGATTTGTAACTTTGACGTCAAGAAAGGGCAACTGATCGATAACTCCTTCGATGGTAAACCGGATGTCGGGAAAGATTGAATTCAGGAATGCCTTGAAAGCTTGCACGTGGCTCCTCTTTAGCATGACGAACGTGTCATCGACATATCGGGCCTAGAACTTCGGGGGGTCCGAGCTGAAGACGAGCTGTTCAAGCCTTTGCACAACTGCTTCGGTAATGAGTCCAGACAGAGGGTAGCCCATTTGTGTCCCCTTCTTTTGCTCGTATACTTAGCCATTGAAGGTGAAAAAGGTCTTAAGACACATTTCGAGGAGCTCGATGATGTGCGCTCGTTTGAGTTGCTTCTCGGTCTCGTCATATTTTTCACGAAGAAGGCCGTCGATAGTGTTGATAGCCAGTGCGGGTGGGATGGATGCGAATAACGAGATTACATCGAATGACACCATCACCTCGTCTGCCTCTACCTCAAGATGCTGAATGCGTGTCAAGAACGCAAGACCGATGTACACTAATGCGAAGGTAGGCATTAAGTACGAACGCGAGTCGACGTTTTTGCATCTCCCGCGCCTAGTCCTCACGTTTGTTGCAATCCATCTGAACGAACTCTCGAAGACTTCTGTCCGGACTAACGCGAGCTGCAATGTAGTTGTCCTCAAACAAAACATGGTCCTATAATACGACGTGTGTTTTTCGGGTAGCGCTGTATCACTGAGACGCCATAAAGGCGTACTGCAAGTCTCAGAGGTTAATTAGAACCTGTAACGTTGGGCAGACGACCAAGGCGCCTGGTATCTGGAAAATGGTGATCATCTCTCCGCATCAGAGAAGTGACAGGCTCGGACAATAAAGTATTGTCTGAGAAAGGGCGAGTGATTTTGAATCTAGCGCCTTCAAACAGATAACACGTAGCAAATTTCCATGACTTTAATCAATCTAACATACTTAATTATACGGCTGTGTGTGGGAGGCTGCAAACTGACGGGAGAGTCAGCCTGCAATGGTTCCTTCGTTATGTGGCCTCTATGTTAACTCCAGTCAAATGGAATTGTTGTCCACTGTGAAAAAACGGTCAATTTGCTTGGACCGTGCGCTTCACACGCGTATAAGAGTTGAGTATTTTTGTCAACCACGCCGACCGATCCCATTTTAGGTCTTATTCACACTGTTTTGAAAAGAGACTGGGGTGGCCGAGGGATGAGAGGATGCTCTAGACGCAATACAAATCTATTATCACTGCGAACAAATTTGTGCTCACGTCACGGTCATGTGCCCAGAATTACTTGATCGTTGGTCCAGACGATCTACGTTTTACTTGAAGAACCAGACATGGTGGACTGGTAGGCTGCTGTGCTTTAGAGATGCGTCTGGTTTGCAAGCTTGTCGCGACCGTCGGGACGCCGGCTAAGGGAACACTGCAGTGGCTGTTACAAACTCTCAAGTACGCGCTTCCGGCAACGGAGCAGTGACCTACAGCATACCGTGACAAAACTGCAGCACGAGGCAAACATGTAAACGCCTCTACACAAGATTACACGAACACCGGTTGACAGTCAACCGTGATGAGAGACTGCCACTGGTATATGACCACATAGAACAGGAGCAGCATAGTTTTGCTTTCAGGGACGTGAATGTGATCAGCCGATGCAACGACAGACGACAGAGGGCACACGAGGGCGTCAACATTCCGCCACGGAGGAGCCAAAGCTATAACACGAAACAGGCGGCGAGATAAGATCACTTACGGCAAACTAGAACAATAGCTACATCGGTATGATGACGGAAATGAAGAAGTTTCCGAAATGTCACCACCAATACACCGTGGTCACTGAAAGTGCCCATCCTTTTTTGTCCTCTTTGGGAAATGATGAACGGGATAGCCAAAGCATGTATATTCCAAAACCAATCTGTATCCTATATCCCTACAATGATTTAACTTGCTTATTTAAAACCCAAGCATTATCGGAATATAATAAACTGATAGTTTTTATGAAGCAATCATAAAGCACCCCAAGTTTAATTATTTCTTACGACACAATCTTCTTTTAAGTGGATTAAAATGGACCAACATACAGGCAGAGGTTTTGGAAATAACATTTCAAACTTATATCATTCCGGAATATACTCAACAGTGTGATGAGTGTCCAAAGGCCTCCAGAATGTAAAACGGTTTCAAATTTTTACAAGTGGTGGAGCTATTCTAAGATACATCAAGTTTTTCACTGAGACAGGACAGTGTCCTCCCAGAATCCATAGGGTTTGCATACGGAGACTTCTGAAAACACCGCTTCAATCCACTGACTTTGAAAAATACACTATGATACTGTAGCAGCCGCTCTAGTGTCCCCTTAGTTGGCGTTCCGATGTCTACGACAAGCCTGTTAACCAGCAGGCACTAACCAGGCCCATATCCAAAGCTCGGCAGCCCGCCAGGCGTGAGCTCGCTTGCACCCGGATTATCCTACGCGCGTCAGCCGACCTGATTGGGCACCTATATGATCTTGTGCTTATGCACTCCGAGACCTGCCTTTGAATTAAGCAATAAGGCGCCAACCGCCCAGACCTTCAGGCTCCCTTGCTGACACAAGCATACACGCCGCAGTTAAAACGTTCACTAACAGATGCTCTGTTCAACGGTGTGAGCTCTTGAAACGGCGCTGCCATTTTTTCGTCCCTCCATTTGCATGTAAAATTTCTTATATTTACATCGGTTGACTCAGTATTCCCCTTTCGAAACCGATTTTTACCTCTCACTGCTTCTATAAACTACAACAATAAGGTTATCAGGGCACAACGCTAGGGGCGATTTGAAGGAATTTCAATTTGGCTTACATTTTGTGACATGTTCAAGGACATTTTTCCAGGATGTTAACAATTGCGGTTTCTGTGCCTTAGTTTATTCATGTTGAATGGAGGACGGTATTGCTGAAAATTTTGCAACAATGTTTCAAAATAAAACGTATCGGTCTCTCTCAACCAAACAAACAGAGAGCCGTTTCACGGCAACCTACCCCGTGTACCGAATAAATGGTTCCCTTTATCTGATCGACTTCTCCTATTAGATGGAATGAACCTAGTGTGTACGTGGGTAAAGTTGCTGTCACGCCCATGACCACCGCAATACTATAGGACGCTATTGAATAAACCTTGACAGTTGATCGCCAAAGGCAATGTGTAGAAAGTGTTTGAAAGCTTTTTTCATCCCCTCTTCTTTAGAACATGTAAATCATGCCAATACAAATGAAACTGCCAGCCTCAGACAGTAGTTGAAGTATACGTGTGTGATGAGCGACTATCGATTTAGATTAAGTGAATCATATGCACCAAAAATGTCGGTGCAGGGATGGTGACTGGAAGGTAAATTTAAGTGATAGTAGACGTAGCAGGCACCAACTGCACTCTCCACCTTTACCCGGGGTCAAGAAGACCAAACGGAATCAGCTGTTGGCCGTTTTCTCCAATGCAGGCCAGAATACCGCTTAACTTAGTCTTAAGTGACAGTAGACTTTTGCGCGGGTGCTACAGCACTACTTACCCTCACTCATCTTCAGTAGATGTTAAGACAAGCTCAAGGAGATCGACAACGTACTGTTACTACTACCAACATAAACTGAACCTGAGTGTTAATAGTACTGGTACTAATTCTGACGCTAATATTAGGTGATTCAAATTAAAATCAACGCTGGGGCTGAAACCTCCTCGATCTCAACAGGGACTGTGAATCTATGTCTACGCTTTTCAGATTAAATATATGTTTGAGTCCTGGAACACATCAGCGCTTGCCTTAATTTTCGCTCCCTCAACTCTATCCACCACTTGTGTCAGTTTCTACTATGTTTGGACTACGAGTACTAGGCTACTGCTGCCTATGTTAAAGTGCTACTTCTAGTAAGCATACTTACTAAGAGCAGTAAATAGTATACAATAATATGGTCTGTGTGTGCGTGTAGGAAGTCGGCAGCCAGAATGCACTCCAATCTGTAGGAGGTAAAATAATTGGTCAGTTGGTTGAAGAAAAGCGTTATGAAGTAATAGCTCAAGTTCTACCATGTCTTTACGTCGCAACTTAGTGCCTTTTGCCGTCTATAGGGTAATCGCAGG